ACGTCTGTTCGGAGACTGGCGCCGATGGTTCCTGGGGCGGGAGAAGAAATCGAACTCGCGGCACCGACATACGGCTCACCTTTGTGGGCTTCGGAGGCTTGGGCGGTTCCTTCGTCTCTTCCTCGTTCTCATCCACTAAGCCCTCGTCGCTGTCGTCCTTGTCGGCTGCGTCGAATTTCTCTTCCCGCCGTGGAGGGTTCCGACGTTCCTGGTACCCATGATTATCGGTTCCTCCCATGATAGTGTCCCTCGAATCATCTGGATGTTCCATATCTCGGTCCATGGACCCTCTGGCAGAATAGCTGTCTCTTTCAGATTTGATGACAATTTCGCCAGGTTCCGGAAGATTAAGTGACTTGACCGAGCCTTCATTGGCGGAATTGTGAGAGTCGGCCTTCGCATCACTACTGCGTGGACGCCGGTCGTTGTCACCTTGTTCTGCTGGTACGCTTTCATGACGGAAAGGTACCGGGCGTTGCTGTTGCGCAAAACTCTGCGACCTCATAATCTTGGGCGACTCGGGGGGGCCCTTCTTCCCTAGTGCTGGATTTATCCACTGCTTGCTCGAGGGCCGTTGTTGTTTCTGTTGTTGAGCACGAGGGCCAGAGGGAATAGGCGGACTGCCCTCTACCAGGTTCATCTTTGCTGGACCGGTAGGAGGTGCCGGGAAATCTCCGCCGCTACCTCCGCCGCCGTGTCCGGCTGAGACGGGTCGTTCGGAGTTGAAGGCTCTTGGGGCTGTAGGTGGAAGTTTGCCGGTGCCGCCAATGATGGGTGATCCGTCCGCCGGGCCGTTTCGACTGGGAACAGTACCGAAAGCGGGCGCTGAAGGGGCGAGCGGGGGTGGAGATACGTCCTTGGTGTTTGGTGACTGTGCTTGGGAAGACATGCCTCTGTCTCGTTCTCGGTCGACCTTTGGTCTCAGCAACTCGCGGTCTCGGGGATCGCGGGGTTCGTCTCGGGGGTCTCTGCGAACTTCAGGATCAACCCACCGGTCGCCACGGTCGCGGTCGTCCCTATCGCGGCCCCATCGCCCTTCCTGGGAACGACTGCGAGGTCCGAAGCGATCGCGGTCATCGTAGAAACCAGCTCTTCCACCCCTTCCTCTCTCCCATCCTCCGCGTCCTCGATCTCTGCCTCCTCTGAAACCACCTCGACCCATGCCGAAGGGGGGATCAGAGTTGGATGAGCCAGCGGAAGGTGGACCGCCGTCCCTTGAGCCGCGCCTAGATCGTTCGGCATCAACGCCTAATGGAGGATCTCTGTCGCGGAAATCTCGCTGTGGTGGTGAGCGCCCTCTACCAGGCGAGCGTGGGCGTCCCCGATAGCTCTCTCTATCCCGTCGGTCCCAGTCCCGTTCGCGTTCGCGGCTTCTCTCGTCTCGATAGGGCCCATCGCGTCGGTCTCTGAAATCGATATCGCGGTCCCGTCCGCGATCTCTGCTGTCATCGCGACCCCATCCGCGGCCACGGCCACCTCTGCCACGTCCTCTAAAGTCACCGGCATAGCCGCCGCCTCTGGGTCCACTGGGAGGATCTAAAAGCGCCTTAGGCCCTCGTGGCGGGTCACGGGGTAGGTTGTCGCGAAATGAATCTCTGTTGTTGGTAAATGCTGATGTGTTGGAGCGCGCCTCGGCGGACGATCGGCGGCGGTCGCCATCACTGTACTGGGATGCGCGTTCGTAACGATCGGGTGAGCGGTCGCGAGGCGATCTGGAGCGACGGTCGCCGCGATCTCCCCCGTCATACCTCGAGGAATATCTCGAAGCCCTGTAGAGATCGTGATTAGCATGAAGGGGTCGCTCGAGAGGCCGCCTCGCATCCGCAGGACGCCTGTTGTGGTCAAAGGGCGGCCGCATCTGGTGTTCAAGAGAGTCTAGGTGTTTGACTCGATTTGCGTCAAGCGCGATGCCTTGTCTGGGTCGGGCATGCGGGTTGTGGGAATTTTGATGGAGGACTTGAAGAAGTCGGAGATTTAGGTTTGTTGCATCGTCTACTCACATCGCACTAGGCCGGGCGACAGCCCTTAAAGTTGCCTATGATAAAGGTCCAATACCATATGTGTCTGGATTGGGACGTGGAACCAGAGAACCTTGGTTGTCGTGGGTCGATGGAAGACTTTTGGTCCTTGGAGTGGTCGGGTCCCAACCTCGGATAAGCGTCAGGACGGGCGTTGGTCAGGAGGTGAGAGAGGTAGCGTAGCGGGCACGGCGGGGAGTGGGTGCATCCGACAGCGGGTCGTTATTGTGCGTGTTTGCGTATGGTTTTACACTGGGTAGTGATGTACGGGTGGATGACGGCACGTTAATTGTGTGTGGACGGTGTCCCGTTGGCAGCGATGCTCGTGGGCGGATGTTGGTGTGTCGTCGTGATGAAGCGCGGAGATGCGACACTTGGGCACTTTGGCGAGCAATCGTGTGATGTTGAAGGATTGAAGACGGGACCGCAGCGGGCAGTACCTTGGGGAATGGACGGCCACGGCCACGTTCAGGGCAGCCTGCAAAATACGGTTCGCGTGCAGTGGCGCTTAGTTCCAGGTTTGGCACTGGGCTGAATTGGATCTCAAATTCGCTGGGGGCAGCGCCAGCCTTTTACCGCCGACACGCGCTAGACTCATTCGGGTTTCTAGCGGGACCCACGGCAGTTCGAGCCTCGAGGTTGTTTGTCGTTGGCCCTGCCTTCCATCCAATGCCTGTTAGGTACCTAACTTGAGGTGCCTTTACCTTGTCTTCCTGCCTCCTGCTTGTCTCCGAAATCTCAATTTCCTGGTCAGGTTCCAAGAGATGCGGTACGTACCCTTTCAATGTTTGCCAAACTCGAGTACCTTGGTACCTCATGGAAACCTCTCCCGTCCCGTACACGGCCCAAATGAAAGTGTGTCCACAGACAAACTTCAAGAGTCCACTGAGGTAGTCACCAAATCCACATCATCTTGAGGTCCCTTGAACCACGTCCACTGACGAGCCTCCCGTCTATTGTGCAATCCAAAACCATCAAGTCCTCGTTCACGTCTCTGTCAAGGTAGGCATTCAATGCATAACCAACCAACATCACTTCCCGCACACCAAAAGTAACCGACCACACACACTCCGTCGCCGTGTCGCTTTACCATTAGACGACCCGACCTGCACGGGTGGGCACTCGCAATTCGAGGTGGGTTCCTGTGCGCGCGCCGTGGCAGACCCTGCCGCCTGGTACTCCACCTTTCCGTCAAAATTCTTTGCAGAGTGGAGTCCGTCTTTTCTAAACATCACGGCCGTGGAGTCATCCCATGCCCGCCCGGATGGAGCCCTTCTGAATGTGTGGTGTGTGTGGATGGACAATTATTTTGCACACCAGCTCCGATATCACGTCAAAGTCCCTCGTTCCCTGATTGCTACGAACGAAAAAGAGTCCGGTAAAATACACGTTATTTTTGGGTTGAAACAATCACAGGGTTCTTGTCTGATAACCATACACAATTCTCCGCGATTCGTGTTCCCACTATTCGCTATAGACCGCCACTCCCCTCACTGGTATGTACCTTTGTTCGGTGGGCTTGAGACAATCTCACTTTTGAGATCCCTCACATTTGCAACTCAACTGCAGCCTGTTTTCGGTGTGCCTCCCTCATTCGTTCAATTACAGGAAATACATCATGGCATCTCAAGAGAACCCCAACGCCCCGCCGGCGGCAGCAACCGATGCGGTCCTTGTCGTCTCAGAAGAGATGCCCGAGGGCGCCCAAAAGGTCGAGGAGTTGGACTTTGATGATATCAAGGGGCCAATCACCGCCGAGAACCTCTACAACGGCATGAGATTCATGGGCTTCCAAGCCTCATCTCTGACCGAGTCCATCCGGATCATCAATGACATGGTGAGCCGCCACCTCTATTGCTCCCACGTGTGAGACGAGCCTGCTAACAGGCGGGTTGCGACTTCAAGAGGGCATGGAGAGACCCAGAAAGCGGCGACAAGACAACCATCTTCCTGGGCTACACCTCCAACATGATCTCCTCCGGCATGCGAGGCGTCTTCCGGTGGCTGGTCAAGCATAAGCACGTCTCCGCCATTGTCACCACCGCCGGCGGCATCGAGGAGGACTTTATCAAGTGCTTGGGCGACACCTATATGTCGTCCTTTAGCGCTGACGGCGAAGGCCTGCGCAAAAAGGGCCAGAACAGAATCGGAAACCTCGTCGTCCCGAACTCGAACTACCGCGCTTTTGAGGACTGGGTCGTGCCCATCTTTGACAAGATGTACGAGGAGCAGGAGGCCAGCAAGGGAACCGACGACGAGATCAACTGGACGCCCTCCAAGATGATCCATCGCCTCGGCAAGGAAATTAATGACGAGCGCTCCGTCTACTACTGGGCGTGGAAGAACGACATCCCCGTCTTCTGCCCCGCGCTCACGGACGGGAGCTTGGGCGATATGCTGTACTTCCACACTTTCAAGACCTCGCCTGGCCAGCTCAAGTGCGACATCGTCGAGGATATCCGGAAGATCAATACCATCTCGGTGCGCGCCAAGAGGGCGGGCATGATCATCCTGGGTGGCGGCGTCATCAAGCATCACATTGCGAACGCTTGCCTGATGCGCAACGGCGCCGAGTCGGCCGTGTACATCAACACAGGCCAGGAGTTTGACGGAAGTGATGCGGGCGCCAGGCCGGATGAGGCCGTTTCCTGGGGAAAGATCAAGATTGGGGCCGATGCCGTCAAGGTATGTCACCACGAGCACCTGGTCTGGAGAAGATTATGTATTTCGTTGCTAACATCTATAATGCATATAGGTCTATGCGGACGCCACTTTGGTATTCCCATTCATTGTTGCAAATACTTTTGCCAAAGACAAATCATCATAGACATTACAAGTGAAAAAAGAAAAGGAAAAAACGCATTTCATCGCAGACCTAAGAGCCGCCACATATTGTTCCTAGGGCTAGGCTTTCCTACAATATTGACTCCCACTCAGGTGACTCTGATCTGATACGTCCCTGAGCTTCCGTCCCCTCGCAATCTAATCCACAGGACTCAGCATCAGGTCCAGGGCAGCAGCACAGGGCATCACGCTCGTCAGGTGCTGGTGAGTCGCCGCATTCCTGGCACGCCCTGGACTTTGAATGCCGTGGGCACCAAGGGCAGATACAACAGGGCTTTCTGTTCATAGACTGACGGTTAGCGTCCTTCTTTTTCTGGTATATCTTGCAAGAAGGGCAGAACTTACTCTTCCTCTACCTCTTCGACACCCGACGTATCATCTTCAGGGGCGCTCTCAGTCGCCTGCGAGTCGTGGTAAACCTCATTGGCCACGCCACTAGGATGATCACCACTCTGGCCTGTCGGCGGTGGCGACGAGATAAGACCGCTACTCCCCGAACTCGAGGGCCCAGAGGTAAACACCGCGGCTGCCGTGCCGCTACTATTAGGCGGCGTATGGCTTCCTTCTTCTTCTTCTTCTTCCCTGCAGTTGCTCTCGGGAAAGTATCGAAGGTCTTGCTGTGATTGTAACCCTCGATATATACCCTCGAGGTTTGCGAGGGCAATTTCAGACATGTGAGCAAGAGTTTCTGCGCAGTTTAATGACTCTTGCTGCCGCGTGGCCGAACGCGTCTGATAAGGCATTTTTTCTGCGTGATATGCTGCTTGAAATCGATTGTTGTATGAAGTCTCATTGAAGTGGAAGTGACTGCTACTTCTGACTTACTTATACACAGACGAATACCAGTGGTCTTCCAAACAGTCAAGAGGGAAGAACTCGGCTTCTTCTCATAGTGTGGTGGTGTTGCATCGGAGATGAGGTGCAAATTCAACTCATCACAAGCCCTGGCGGCCCGTATACAACCCAGGCCATCTGCGATAGCTTCTCTGACTTATATTCGACAGTAACATGGGCGGGATAAATTCTGTGGACCTTGCTAGGTAGGTGATTCCATCGGGAAGTTTACACATCGCGCCGTGCGTGTATTACATCGCAGGGACGAGGTTGACGTGTCAAGACCAGGCGAATTATTTCATGCAAACGCTCTTGATTGAATCTCTGATCTTTCTCGGTTTATTCTTAGATATGAAAGGCCACAGATGAAGTATATATAATAGTGGGAGAGGAAAAAAGAAAAGGCCATGAATGGGGAATTGGACAAAAGGTTAAGTTGAGTGAGGCTCGAGGACTTTTGGGTTAATACTACGACTCCCCTCATACCCTTCGGCCACATTCTCCCGACCTCTTATGGTAGATCAGAAGATAAACAGGCCTTAGTACCTTGCAAATTTCATAGTACCTTAGTATTTAGATGAAAACATTCTGAGATATGATACAGCCCAATGGGAGGCACTTATACGATGTGAAGGGTGCGGCAGGTGATAGAACCGACAGGGTGGTATCAAATCAAATGACGTCCCGAGGAAGCTGCACGTGACCTTATCGATAAACATTCTCAGGCAGGTACCTCGCCAACGACAATCTAGAAACTTTCGAAGGTTGTAGCTGCATCTGCCCACTTGTCCCACGCACCTCTCTCTCTCCCATAACACCCTCTTTCTTTCAAACCGGCCCTACCCAAGACTTCATCTCTCGACTCGACAGAGCGTCGCGACGGCCGGCCAAGATGTCGGCCATCTACAACCTCGAACCGCAGCCGACTGCGTCTGTCATCCTCCATACCACCCTAGGCGACATCTCCGTCGAGCTCTTCGCCAAGCAAACACCACTCACCTGTCGAAACTTCCTCCAGCTTGCCCTTGATGGCTACTACGACAACACAATTTTTCACAGACTCGTGCCAGGTTTCATCCTCCAGGGCGGTGACCCAACGGGCACCGGCAATGGCGGCGAGTCCATCTACGACGGAGGCGCATTCAGCGGCGAACTGGACCCCTGGCCAATGGATGAGCGACGCGGTATCAATGCCGGTCCAACTGGCATCGGGTTCAAGGACGAGTTTCACTCACGGCTGAAATGGAACCGGCGCGGGCAGCTGGGCATGGCGAACGAAAGTCGTCCCGATACGAACGGCAGCCAGTTCTTCTTCACACTTGATCAGGCAGACGAACTCAACAACAAGAACACGCTGTTTGGGCGGGTAGCTGGCGACACGATATACAACTTAGCAACGATGGGCGAGGGGGAAGTCACTCCAGGCACGGACCGGCCGACGTACCCTGTCAAGATTACAAACGTGGAGATTCTCGTCAATCCCTTTGAGGACATGGTGAAGAGGTCAAGGGTTGCAACCCAGGCACCCAAGACTGTAGTCATCGAAAAGAAGAAGAAGAGGAAAGGCGGGAAACAGCTCTTGAGCTTCGGAGACGACGAGGGCGATGCCGAGGAGGTTCCGGTTTTGAAGAAGACCAAGTTCGACACGAGAATAGTAATGGATGTGGATGAGGAGGAGGAGCCAGTCGTGAAGAAGTCGACCAAGTCTAAATCGAAAGGCAAGGCAAAGGTGGAAGTACCGGAACCTCCACAACGAGACGAACCGGAGTCCGAGGCCGTTGAGGAGAAGCGGACGGCACCGCCAAAGGAAGTATTATCGGAGAAGAAGAGCGCCATTCCTATTCGACTTCAAGATTCGCCGTCACCAGAGCCTGAGGTTCGCGACACCAAGACGGCACTCGAGAAGACGAACGAGGAGATCGCCGCTCTTAAGGCCTCGATGAAGCGGAGCTTTCATTCCGAACCGGTCAAGGAGACCAAGAAGTCTGCACTTGAAAGCATGATTCCCGAGACGTCAATCCGGGGAAGGAGGAGAAGGCCCGGCGGTAATACGAATAGCCGTGAAGACCAACAAGCTCTCGATTTCTTGAAAGCTTTCAAGTCGAAGCTGGATCAGGCGCCGCCGGAGGAGGCTCCGGAGAAGGGAGACGGACCTACCTCCGCTGCCGAGGAGGGGGAGCGCAAGGAGGATAAGGTGGCCGACGAGGAAGCGGAACTTTGTGATCTTCACTTTATTGCCGATTGCCAGAGTTGCAAGGCGTGGGATCAGGCCGCCAAGGAAGACAGCGACGACGAAGGGTGGATGTCACGGGCGCTCAGCTTTAAAGCGGATAAGCTGGGTAAGGATCTCAGTTATCGCAAAAAGGCAGAGGAGGAGTTGGTTGTGATTGACCCCAGGGAAAAGGCCAGGACGCTACAAGAGGAGAAGAAGGCATCGCGAGAGGCCCGGAGCGGAAACTCCGGACGCGAATGGGATCAGGCACGAAATGCAAAGATGGCCAGAGCTTCGGCTCTTGCGGGCAGAGGTGCAAGGTAGTTTTCTGAGAAATATCAGGGTATCTACTCGTAGGTACCTCGACAGGAACAAGGGTTTTGAATGCGACTCTGTAGGGCGGGACAATGATGGGCCAGTAAACCAATGATACCCCTGAAATTCGAAGCAAAGATGCGAGAGTCAAAGTTTTGGAGAGCCGTTGGTAATTATTTGTTCCCGCGATGCTATTCAGACGACGAAAAATTGGCAGTTGGGGATGGGCCGTGCTTGAAGAGCTGAGATCGAAGATTAAGCTAGGAATCGGAGGGAAATGACGTTGGTACCTTGAAGAGGGTACTTCGTACGGATAAGGGGGCAGCAGCTCCCCGCCGGGTCCCCACACGCGTCATCGAGATGGCCTCGAGAAAGACGGCGGGAGACACCAAGGAGGAAAACGGCAGGTCGGCCGAGTTCAGAACCCTTGTTATACTGTATTTGGTAGATCTGGATGGGAAGTGGAAACATTGCATTCGGAAGATGCTATGAGGATTGATGCTTTGACAGCTGGTGCCAGCATGGCGGGGTGTTTTTGTTCACCTCAGGTTTGAGTACCTTACTTGTAGGTACCGCTCCAAATTGGTTCCCACATACTTACTGTGCGTGTAGTGTAATCCCTTTCACAGATGCCAGCGTGACAGTGTCGGTGAGGATCGAGATGAAGGTGATTGCTGATTGGGCCGGACGATCTGTCCCGTGTCAAAGGGACCTCATCCTGACCCGTCCGTCCCAGAGTCCCAGTTGAGGGCCCCCGAACGACCACAGTTCCCGTTATGAATTGGTGTTTGGATGGGGCTCCTGGACGGTCCCAGGCCCCGGTGGCCGGTGGCCGGTGGTGGGCTGGTGCTTGCTTCCAGTTCTTCTTCCTTCAGGGGTCCCCACTCGGGTGACGGGGTCTAAGGTAAACTCTCAGCTTTTGGATCCTTAGTTTCTCATGGTCTCGGCCCCGTCTGGTTGATAATGACAATACAACAACGATATTGTCCCCCCGGTCCAGACACCAGGCAGCTTCAGGTCTGACCTTATTTCTTCTAAACTCTTTGAGCCGGTGGTCCCTTCTTACTCGGACAAGAAACGGCCTTGTCATATTTCCTTCAACCCTCTTTTTTTTTTTTTTTTTGTGAGGCGCCTGTCACGAACTTGTCTCAATTGCTACCTAAGCACACGCACATACCTACCTTGGAGAGACAACCCCTTCTCATCCAATTATCCTCTTTAAAACATTCCCATTAACCCACAGTACACGACGTGGTAGCGACATCATCCCCCCCCCCCCACCACGCACCTTGGAAGAGGACGAAGAAAAAAAAAGTGAGCGACGCGCTACGCCTGCAGCAGCCAGCAAACCGCAGTCAGCAGCAACACCGCCGCCATCAACGTGCAACGACCAAAGCACACACAACCTTGAACCGTCAAGTCGAGCCAAGCACCAAGCCCGCTGACGCCTGACGCCTCACCGTAAGGTACCATCGTCTGAATGTGCCTTACCTAACATAGCGAACACTCATCTTTTTTTCCTCACCAGAAAAAAAAAGAAGCGGAAACATCTGCTCTCATTCAGAGCTTTCGCAGCATCCTCCGCGACCGAGACAATCGCACCCTTGCGCCGAAACCCAAGCCCGACCTATCGCGACAAGGGCTTCTTTGCCGGCTCATAGTTGGAATTGCTATTGTCGGCTTTTTTCTTCTTTCCTCTCTCACACAATAGACTTCCTTTGCGAAAGCTTCTCCAACAGCTTTTGGCGATTGACTCAGGCTTCCCCCCCTCCTCCAGCCTGCCCTTTCAGCACTTTGGACATAGAGAGAGGTCCCCCAGGCTTCACGACCCAACGGCCAACCCCGAACGTATATAGAACCACGAGATCCGTATCCTCGTTCCACCGCCCTTCTTTCAGTCACCGCGCTTTCCATGACCGACGACTTTTCGGCTTTCCGCAGACCGAGTTTTTTTTTTTGCGCATGCGACGGGCGACTTTCCGATTAGTCTGCACTATCCCGACCGATCCATTCGCCGCCGCTGCTGCCGCTGCTCTTCGCTTCTCGACACCGCTGTGAAAAAGCAAAAAAAGAGGAGGTGGTATTTTCTGGCTTGCTCTCGGCGACTACTGGTACACAAGCTGCCTACAGCTTTCAACCCGCAACCCACCACACGCGGCCGCCGCGAAAAGATTCAAACGAGCCTCACCGAAGCAGGCGACCCCCGCGTCAGCCTATCACGTCCGCCTCAAAGGCGCCGCATCAGCCGGCGACCTGGCCGATTGAATTCTCCCAACGGGCCACACAACTCGTCTTCACCCGAACCAACAGCCC